TTCACGAACATAAATGAACGAACGAGACTCTTGTTCATGTTCGTTCGTTTAACTAAACGAACAAAAAAAAAATTGTTCATGTTCGTTCATTTATTAAATAAACAAACATAAACGAACTTCCTGCCGAACGGTTCACGAACGGTTTGCTGAACGTTCGGTTCGTTTACAGCGCTACTCATCTCATCGCCTCCTACTCTAGCTCATCGCCTCCTCTTTTCCACCATTTTTGCAGCTCGAAAACTCCATTCCCGCTTCATTGTCGCATCTTGAAACCTCCATTTAGGTATGATTTCTTTTCACTCCTTTCTATTTCTCCATCTCTCGAAACCTCCATTTCTCTGTTGTCGATTTCTTCATCATACTTGACAATGTAGAAGGGGCTACTGTTCACCTGGAAAATTGAAACCTACTGTCGATTTCTCCCATCTCAAAACCTGCTGTGTTGATTATCCTATTCCAATTCAGCCCCAATCATTACAAACCCTAGAAAATTCTTAACACCAAGTTGAATTTTTACACTACAAGCACACCTTAGATCATTGCAACCACACTCGAATCTATTTCTTAAATTGAAATAAAGGCTGCTTTGATACTCTAGCAGTCGCAGACTGTTGATACCATATCTCCCTAAAACTAAAAGAAAAACATGAAACCAAATATTGTAAGCAATTATATGTTCTATTTGTACTTCGTTATTTGATTCAAATATCATAGAATTTGACTCACTAGCTCATCATTTGATAATACAACTTGAAATGTATCTTTGATTTGGGAGAGGTTACTTGTTCTCGCTGAATGTTGTGTTTATAATGGGACAGCGAAACTAAAAATGCATTCATTAGTTTGACATTTTTCCCTAACGAACTTGGTGATGTCTTGCTTGATGTACTGTGTAAAGTATGCTACAGTACTGGTCAATAAGCTATGTTGGAGGTGGAGCCATGATATTTGTCAAACCTATTAAAACTAAAAGAAAAACATGAAACCAAATACTGTAAGCAATTGTCGGTAAATTGATGCAAGAGTTGTAGTAAATGAAATGAAAGTATGACATGGCAAACAAAAACAAATGTGGAATGATTTTTTGTTGTCGAAAAAAGTCCACATGGAAACCTAAGTAACAACATGGTAACACACAAGTTTTAAGATGGAATCTGCTGTTGATTTTTTTGGTTAGGGATTTGAAGATTTTTATTTGGATATCTTGTTCTATGGTTGAATCTGCTGTCGAAAAGAGTCTCATAACCGCATAATCCATCTTCCACGTTATAGTGATCATCATCATCATCATCATAACATATACTACGATTATCTTCTGAAAACAATAAACTTAATAGCAGGCAATCAACCATTAACAAAACCTCAAGAACACAATAACTTTGATTTTAGTGATTTAACAACAGAAATGGAACAATAAATACAGATTAAAACTGCGGTTTTTTATTTGCATATGCACATGTTTGCTTACCTTTCTAAAATACGATAAGAATAGGTCGAGTGGGACATTCTATGTGTTTCTAAGGCCTAGAAATTGTCAATTGTTGATATGGTAATTCACTTGGTAGTACTTGAAATTTGAGATTCAAGATTTTATGTTGAGTGTCTTACCCATTAGGATAAATTCTACTGTTATCTTGGGTCATTGTTTGTTAAAGAATGCATGGGTGTTTTTGTGCTTCATTTAAGGTACAGCTGAAAAATGTATCTTGGGTCATTGTTTTGACTATTGTTTGTTACTTTGTTTTGTGCTTTTTGTAGTGATAGATCGAAATCACTTGGTTGTACTCGTTAACATATGAAATATTTATATTCAAATGCTAATTTATTTGTTTTCCCTTACAATTTAGTTAATTGAATTGGAGAATAGAAATAGTGAAAGAGAAACGTTGGGTCAAAGAACTTTCACTAGACTTCAAATTAGATCAACCAAAATACAATGTATTACACGAGAAAGTGACGTAAATTGTATAAATGAGTTGCGAATGGATAGAAATGCTTTTGCAGTTGTAACACCCGAAATTTTGCCATATTTCTGCTCCGTCCACGTCAGGATTTCCGTTTCGATTGTGAGAAATACGTTTTTGAGTATATGTATATCTATATAATATTAAGAGCTTTGAACATCTTATTTTAATATTGAGTCTCTCTTTAGTTATTTATATATATATATATATATATAAATGTATATATATAAATTGTAAGGAAGGAAATGTTGATAAAGGGGGGGGGGGTAATGTAAGGGGGGATTAGGTTCTGCCTTTTCCCTACCCATAGACTTCCCTTACTTTATATGGGTTCTTTCTTTTGCATTTGGGTTTTTGCCTACTGTTTCATATTTGGGGAAGAAAAGTGAAAAGGTAAAGTGGGTGGAGGTGAGGGTTTTCAAAAAAGAAAGATCATCCCTTCCACTGGGGAAAGCAATCGAGGAAGTGAAGAAACAGCAAGAGCTGCTGTTTGAGAGAGAAGGGGGGGGGGTGCAATAAAGAACGCTAGGGAAGAAGCTGCAGATTTTTGGTGTGACCTTCTTAGCGCCAGCCAAGTCTGCACAACACTCCGGTCGCTCCCGCACTTCGGATCCTCCAGGCGGCAGGCGCTATCGCGCCACTTCAGACAGCAGGCCGTTGCTGTGCTTCACCTCGCGGTAAACGGCAACAGCAGGCAGCAGGCCGCTGTTTCTCCGTCTTTTTTGCCCGAACAGCAGGCCGTTGCTGTGCTGTCCTTCGTCGCCCCCTCAGACCAGCAGCAGCAGCTACAGGCGCTGCCTGCGCACTTCGTCGCCTCCTCAGATCAGCAGCAGCAGCTACAGGCGCTGCCTGCGCACTTCGTCGCCTCCTCAGACAAGCAGCAGCAACTACAGGCGCTGCCTGCGCACTTCGGCCGCTCCTCAGACCAGCAACAGCAGCCTGCGTCTGCTTCCACACCCCCAGCCGCGACTGTTCCCGTACCAGCAGTCTGCGTCTGCTTCCATACCTTCAGCCGCGTCTCGCTGCCCCTCGGCTTCCCCGCGTCTTGGACCGCTCCGGACAGCAGCAGCAGTCGCTGCTGTGCCGCACCAGGCAGCAGCAGGTGCTGCCATGCCACTTTAGACAGCAGAAGTAGTTGCCGTGCCATACCAAGCAGCAGCCGAAGTTTTCCCCTCTCCTTCCGCTACTATTTCTCGGCTGCTGAGTGTCACTCTAGTGAGCTAGAACCTCCTCCCCATCTACCGGCTAATTCCAATAAATTTGGGATTTCCTCTAAATCCTACAAGGTGAGTCCATCTTATCCCTTACGTGAGACTATATGTTATAAAAAAATTATCCATTTTGCTTAACCTATGCCTTAATTTCTTGTACTTATATACCTAGATGAAATGCATAGTTTTGGGGTAAAAAGAACGAACTTGGGTGCTCCCGTTGTTAAAGAAAAGTTGAGCTAGAGTAAACGGTTTTAATCACTTGGTAGGTTACCTCTTCTCAAGTGTTGTTGGTCTTTGAACTCTAGAAACCTCATGCTCATAGTTTGGAGTCCTCTTGGGCAAGCGGGGATTACCTTATTTGAGATTATACTTACACAAAACCGTATTGTTAATTAAGTGCTAATACGCTTATAGCGCCTTATTTGAGTATTTTACTAGATTGTAACGGGTCTAAAGACTTGAAGGTTTATTTCATTGTATTTGTATGAAAGATGGTGTAAGTTGGAATTAGGCATTGTAATCATTATGTAAATTCCAAATCATCTTCTCACTCCCACTCGAAAATAGGCATTGTGACTATTATGTAATTTTCGAGGTAAAGAGCTTAAGATCACGACCGACTTCATGACTGGTTAGGTTGATGTCGATGGTATTATAACCTGCAAGCGATGCTCTCTAATGTTGATTTATGACATACTTTGTGTTCCGTCATAATTAACGGAAAAACCGGGTCTCCTCCGTCATCTTCGGATGTGTAACCCCACCCCAAGTAATTTAGAGTTAAATATTACCGTTGTTTTGTCTAAGATTCATCATGCATTTATATACACCTATTTATATAACGGTTTATTGGCCCTTTTGTTAGTCTGTTTGGACTCACTAGGCGTAAGCCTAACACTCCTTGAAATGACTTATTTGTCAGGTTCCTTTAATGGCGGGACTAAGAAGGGCTGAAGGGAGCGTGATCTCATAAAAAAAGGGGCTTTTGTGCAGCTAAAGCTTTTGGTGTTTTGGAGCGTTGCAATATTTGATGATACGGCATTTTGTTGAAGTCGATAGAAACACCTGTCCTTAATCTAGGCATAGGATTGATTAGATTAATAGGTTGTTACTTATCGCCTCCTTATTTGTCGATAGAAACACCTGTCCTTAACTTTCCGCTTGAATTGTCGGATAAAATTATCTCCTTCCTTGTCGTGCTCTTTCTTATTTTAGGGTGTTACAACAGTTTTGTGTGATTTGCTTAAAACTCGTGGTGGATTAATAGATGATGGTAATATGACCATCGATGAGCAAGTTGTTATATTTATAAACATATTAGCACACCACACTAAGAATAGGACTATCCAAGTTAGGTTATATAGGTCGGGGGAAACAATAAGTGGGTATGTTCATCGAGTATTGCATGCTATATTGCATTTGGAAGACGTGTTGCTTGTCAAACCAACTCCTATAGAAGATGATTGTACGGATTCACGATGGAAATGGTTTAAGATACTTACTATAACAATCTTTATAAAATACATAATATAACATTTATCCTTTAGCTAAAACCTATTTATCTTTTGTGTATAGGGTTTTCTAGGAGCAATAGATAGAACTTATATTGAAATAACTGTACAAGAGTATTAAACCAAGATATCGAACAAGAAAGGGACATATTGCGACCAATGTATTAGGTGTTTACACTCGTGATCTAAAATTTGTCGACGTTTTAGCCGGTTGGGAAGGTTTAGCTACCGACTCTAGAGTTCTATGAGATGCAGTTACCAGACAAAATGTATTGAAAGTCACACCCGGTAATTACTGTTTGGCGGATGCAGGATATATCAATGGTGAAGGTTTTTGGCACCATATAGGAGCACTTGGTATCATTTACAAGAATGGGAAAATGCTAGTCATGCACCTACTAATAAGGAGGAATACTTTAATATGAAGCACTCAAATGCTAGAAATATTATTAAAAGGTGTTTTGGCATCATGAAGAAACATTGGGCTATAGTACGAAGTCTCTCTCTCTCTCTCTATCCAATAAGATATCAAGGGCGAATGATTTTAGCGTGTGCTTTATTGCATAATTTAACATACATGACCATTGATCTTCATGAAAGTTCAACAATCACCATTAAAGATATGCCCACTGGGGAAGACCACTCTTTACCATCAGAGTTCATTGATGTTGTTGAGGCAAGTGACGAGTGGTCTCAGTGGAGAGATGATTTAGCTGTGGAGATGTTTGAATCTTGGATGTTAAATCGTAATTGACATTATGGATTGGTGTTTGTAATTAAATTATATTTGTCTTGTTTGTAACGAAATTATATTTGTCTTGTTTGTAACGGAATTATATTTGTATTGTTTCTAACAGAATTATATTTGTCGTGTTTGCAATGAAATTATATTTGTTTTGGTATTTGTTATTGTCTTCGTAATGGAATCTTGTTTGTTTGTCTTTAGTATTTTTTTACTATTTTGAAGATTCATAAAAAATGGCCGATTGTCGTGGGTGGACAACGGATGAGGAAGACTTGTTGATCACAATTCTTCAAGACATTGTCATCAATAGGAGTAGATGTGACAATGGAAGCTTTAGTTCGGGTACATATGAGGCCGTTGTTTCAAAGATGAGGGAAAAAATTCCCGGTATTAGCCTTACGTCGAAACACATACAAAACAAGATTAAGTGGCTAAAAGATAAGTATTATGTCGCTTATGATATGTTGAATACAAGTGGATTTGGATGGAATGACGCAGATCAATGTGTAACTGTTGAAGCTCCTAAGATTTTGGAGGAGTATCTAAAGGTTAGATACTAGTAATGATAATGGGTTATATATAATGTTTTTTGTTATTGCTCTTAATAATTGTTTGTTTGTTGTTTGTCGTAGAAACATCCTAACGAAAATTACACGACTAATAAGTCATTCTCAGCTTATGAGCGGTTGAAGTTGGTGTTCAGGAAAGATCGAGCAACGAGAAATATGGCTGAATTAGCTACTATAAAACTTGATATTGATTGTATTGATTGAAAAATAATAATAATCTGATACACTTTATATAGGTAAAACTAATTACACTTTGGACCCTAGACAATATTAAAAATATAAACTAGACTAGTTGACTTAGTCTAACATTCCCCCGCAAGTACAGCGCGGTTAGCAATCTGCAACTTGGACCGTAGAAACTCAAACTTCTGAGAAGACAAGGGCTTTGTAAAAATATCAGCAATTTGGTCGTCTGTGGAGATGAACTTGACAATTAGTTTCCCTTGAGTAACTTGTTCACGAACAAAGTTATAGTCTACTTCAACATGCTTGGTACGGGCATGAAAGACAGGATTAGCTGTGAGATATGTCGCGCCAAGATTATCACACCAGAGTGTAGGGGCCTTGCTATTCAATACAAGTTCCTGAAGAAGAGACTTCAGCCAAATCAACTCAGCAACAGTATCTGCAATGGCCTTATACTCGGACTCTGTTGAAGATCGAGAGACAGTTTTCTGCTTGCGAGCAGACCAAGAAATAAGATTCGAGCCTAAGTAGATAACATATCCCCCCGTGGATCGACGATCRATTGGGCAACCAGCCCAGTCAGAGTCTGAGTAAGCTTGAAGATTTTGGTTCCAATGAGAATCAGAAAAGGGTTGAAGCTGATAGCCCGTATTGTGACGAATCCACAAACACAGATTGATGGTGCCCTTGAGGTAACGTAAGATCCGTTTTACTCCGGCCCAATGATTTTCAGTCGGAGCATGCATGAACTRGCAAACTTTATTGACTGCAAAGGCAATATCAGGACGAGAAAGGGTAGCATACTGAAGAGCCCCGACAGTCTGCCTATAGCGAGAGGGATCATCGAGTAATGGGCTATCATCCGGTAACAACACTTGAGAGGTGTTCATTGGAGTAGCAATCGGTTAACAGTCTGCAAGGCCAGCACGGTGTAAGATCTCACAAACATATTTCCGTTGTGAGAGAACTAAGTCTGCCTCCTTGTGAACAACTTCGACCCCCAAAAAATAATGTAGCTGCCCTATATCTTTAAGAGCAAAGAGAGTATGGAGCTGGTCAACGACGGTGGCGATAGCAGTGGAATTGTTACCGGTGATGATGATGTCATCAACATATACCAGAAGGTAGATAAGAGAGCCCGGAGATTTGAGAATAAAAAGTGAGGGGTCGGTTTTGGACCCATAAAAACCCAACTGTTGAAGAGCAGTAGACAATTTTGTAAACCAGGCACGAGGGGCTTGTTTGAGCCCATACAACGACTTGTGTAACAAGCAGATATGATCAGGTTTGGTTTRATCAATGAAGCCAGGAGGTTGGCGCATGTAAACAGTTTCCTTGAGATCACCATGCAGAAATGCGGTCTGAATGTCCAACTGTCTGAGAGGCCATTTGTTGSTGACAGCGAGAGACAGGACAGTGCGAATAGTAACAGGCTTGATAACGGGGCTGAAAGTCTCATGATAATCCACGCCATGCTGTTGGTGAAAACCTTTGGCCACAAGGCGGGCTTTGTACCTGGTAATCTTTCCATGTTCATCAGTTTTTAACCGATAAACCCATTTACAATTAACGACATTAGCATTAGAAATAGGGGGCACAAGTGTCCACGTGCCATTCCTATGAAGCGCATCCAACTCATCAGCCATTGCTT